TGAGACAGTTCGCTTACATCAATAAAAAGGACGGCAAACTTTTGGCAATAGTTTTAGATACAATACGGTTTCAAATCGTAAATGAAAGGTCAAGTCAAACGGAAAATATAGGATAAGGAAGCTGGGATAGGAGCCAAAAAACCAGAATTACGAGATTGCGACTTAAAAACAGAACTGATAATTATGATACAAAAAGAAGACAACAATTTCCATCTGAGGGAACTGGGTCACATTTGAAGTTAGTACATCAATCGTTTGTTACTTGTGGCGAGGCTGGTGGAAAGAAATTAGAATATTCAAACATCTCACAGCATGTCAGTACCATCTTATATCCAGGTTGATTGATATTTGTAACATAAAACTTACCCGCGTGCGACAAACACAATGTCAGGCACGTTAGAAGAAGTCTCCTGTTCATTCCACGGCCTTTCCTTGTTCGTTATTGTTTATTTATCGCAAATTTGTACCTGCCAGGAAAATGATATATTATTTTGCCACCAAAAGTTATGTCTGCTCCGGTTATCAGGCCCTGTTTGTTGATAAGTTTGTATAGACTGCTCGCCAACAACAAACTTTATTAGATTTAATCGTTTTTATCAACATGTTTCTACCATATTTTCAACTTTGCTCCAAATCCTCTTAGCAAAGCAGGTTTTTTCTATGTTGCTTGTAATTATTATTGTTTATATAATAAAATCTGTTCCATTCGCAAGCTGAAATATTTTGCTTTGTATATGTAAATAGGAGTTACAGAAAGCTAAAAACTTCAATCACATTCTAACTTACCGTTCAAAAAACAAAAATCCAGATCAAAGAGAACTTGAAAATGTTTCCTATTTGGTCATTTCCACTAAATGACGTCATTAGATTCAACAAGATGTTCTAAAGTCAAGCAAAATTAAATATTTACCACCAAGTTGTGCAGTCCATCGACTTCGCCAATATTTAGCCTGCACGTGGGAGAAAGTAAAGATTAAATGTTTAGTTAAACTAAGGTTATCAAGAAGAAACGAAGGCGATGATTGCTTGTATCCTCTTTCTTGAAGGATTATTCTGGGGTTGCCATGTTGTAGGAGGGTTTCGACTGTGCTTAGTGTTTCGTGATTATTCACCTGCTGACTCCGAACATGAGACTTAAAACTGTTCTTGCTGATAGACTGATAAATCACTTCGCTCTGGTAACGCTTCAGTAACACTGGAATATTAGTCTCTTAACAGGCGGATCGTTTTAAATCGATTGACAGGTATAATAATTTGACTAAGGTGATAAATGCAAACACCAACACAACCTTGTTATGTGCATTCTGTAGAAACATGGTGGGTTTACCTAGTACATAACCGTTGGTTATCTACACTACATGCATTGTAATTTCTTAAATTACGCCGTGTTAGTTGCATGTTTAGAATCCGTAGTTGCGTTGTAACAAACGCTTGATAAACTTTTTTGTTTTACTTTGAGCGCCTTATACCGAGCAGCTCACATATGGCATGCGCGTACACAGATGAAGTGGCATTGGCAATGCATACAGGACACCTTATTGGACACCGTATTTAACATCTTTTCCAAACTTAGTGAAGCGCTTGGGACATATTTGAATGCTATCGAATCACAATCTTCTAGAAAACATTTGCAATATGTCTTTAAAGAGGTCCTGTTTTTTGTAAATATATACACCTCATTTTCTGGTTTAACATATAATACGCGCGGATATTTTGCGAGTTGCGTTTTTCTTTTTGCGAGCCTCATAAGGGCAAGGAATTATACTGGCAATGAGCAAGATGTTCGCTCGCATTACATGTTAAACTTTAGAACAAGAGTTTAATTTTCTACCATTTGACGTCTAGTTTTGGAAATACTCCCGACAGTTTAATCGAGCATCGCACCGATCGCATACGACGTGCGTAGAAGATGAAGTAATTTGAAAAAGTTTTCTTTCCGACCACCAAAAATCTTCTGGGCCTAACGTTCGCTTCTGAGAGAGTCATGCCTGAGAAAAGGAAGAACAATCACTGTTTGGGTAGTTCAGTGCGGCCATTTTGTTGCTCCACACTCCCCCTGTTCTACTATGAAATATTGTTACATATTTTTCGGGTTCCGTTGCCCCAATATGGTAAAATGGCGTAATAGTAAAATAATAATATGATATAAAAGTTGATAACTCGGGCTATTTAATTAAGATGATACAGGGAATTTTCAAGGTTACCTAACAAACTCATGGACTTCAGCAATAAGGGAATTGTGGCAGGAATTCACAGGTTAAAGTAAAGTAAAACTTTTATCAGACAGGGAAGCCAATTCAGCTCAGTGCTATAGTACTGTCACAAGACCTTTACCGTGTTAACTCCTAAAATTCTGTTGTGTGATTAAAGCGAAGGAAGTTGTGCTCTAATAAGAGAACCTTTTAGAGACCTGTCCTTCTGATGACAACAATTAAGGGATTAGGATATATTTGCGCCAGGTCATTGTTGCCAAAAATGAGGTGCCAGAGTCTCTAAAGAATCTTTCTAAGATTCTGGTTGGCAGGGTTGAAAGTTGGAACGAACGGCAAAATCTTTTAAATGATTTCAGTTTGTTTTTTAAAGCCGTGTTGCGTGATAAAAATTTTGGTTCGGTTGAGATCTTTTCGACGAGGTCCTGAGGGTAGCCTTGTTTTATATGGTGAGTTACAAAATTTTTTCTTCTTCCATTCAAAAGATTGTTGAGATTGTTGAGAGATTGTTCTCAGTGAGCGTAGTGCTTTTCCTTCTACAAAACCTTTCTAAACACTGAGAGGGTGGCATGGAGAGAAGTGCGTTTATTGGAACATTTCTGTCGGCTTATAATATGTGTAAACATCACGGATTTTGCTATCGATAAATCTGGGTCCTTTAAAAAACCTCAGTATTGAGGAAAACAATTTTTTCTGACGACAGTTCATGCGTGAATATAATAGTGGCGTAGAATGAAATCGTAGAGCGAAATCAATGAAGTTGTTGATTTCGGTTTCGGAAAAGGTCCACACGGAAAAAAAATGTCCTCAATGTATCTTTTGCAAAGAAATGGTTCATGTGGGCTTGTAGCTAGTAGCTGTTTCTTAACATGAGCCATGAATATGACCGCAAAAGCTACCTCCATTTTTGTTTCCACAGCTACTCCGTGCGTTTGTAGATTGTGTTTGTCGCCGAATTTGAGAATTTTCGTTTTGTTGGGATCGGACGTTTTGACTGAAATGCTCTTCGTAGTTTTGACAGATGACTTTAATTCCCTCTTCTAAGGGAATGTTAGTATAACTGATCAGTAAAAACGTCGAAAGTAGCTAAAACCGCTTCTTCTGGAAGTGGAGTGTTTTCGATGAAGTTTATAAACTGAGTAGTGTCTTTAATGTAAGGCTTGTGTTTTCGCGATCAGTTGTAAGAACTGGAAATACATTCTGTCGGGCCATGTTACTAGACACGATGGGTCTGCCGACAGGAATGGTTTTTATGTACTTTGGTCAGCATATAAAATTTCTGTATTCTAGGTCGTTTTTTCGCCTGAATTGAGCCACTTATAGGTCATGTTGTCAATGTGTTCTTTAGTAAACAAAATGTTGACAATCGTTTTGACTTTTTTGGCTGTTTCAGACACTGTTGGTTGTGTAAGGGGATAATAGGATTTCTCGTTAGAGACTTGTTCGTAACCCTCCTGTATGTTTTGTTGCTGCTCACTTGCTGCGTTCGCTTGCTGCGTTCGCTCGCAACAACACTAATCTTGACGAGCTTTCTATTGTGCGTAGGTCTAAGCACGAGTTTACAGCCAGTTCTGATTTCGATTTGTGGTCGGGCTACCGAAATATGTTTGTTCCTATGAACACGTCTACATTACATTGGTCAGCGGTAGCGAAACAATGTGTAGCATTGACAGAGTCGACCGCATGCTTTGAAGTGTGCTGGAGTGGGGATTTTCTTATGTGAGGTGAGTTTTATGAAGTTTTGCGGCGAAAGTATATTGAGTTAACCTCGAAGTATTTCACTTCCTATTAGAGACTGCTAGTTTGGTATTCATTATAACTGTAGTGGTTTCTTTGTCGGCTTTTTTAAGATTTATCTCGCTGTTAACTGCATATTTTTGCTTTGCTTTTAGATTATCTTTTCCGTTGGGAATGGTTATAGAGGCAGTCTCTACTTCCGTGAGCTCCAAATAATTTTCAAAAGCAACCGTTTGCCTATTTGGTAGCGTTTGGCTATTTTAGGCGCAAAGAGCGAGTAAAGTCCGTAAAATCTTTAAGGAGGGTTTTATGTGAAGCCAGTACAGGGGTACTTAGGATTAATTTCAGTCCTTTTACCATGAAAGCTATTTTGCAATCAGTATAAGGTTCTCATTGGACAAGTTTTCAGGGTTGAGCCTGATATCAAATATAAATTATGATTAAAATTTGGTTAAAAAATTAAAATTACGTTAAAAATCTAATTTCCATCAAGTAACTAAAAAAATTCTCAAAAAAATTAGACCCGCATTAAAATCTATTTTGCACATTAAAACTTTTCTTTCAGTTAAAAGCAAAGTGTTTTTACCAAAATTTGTTTCTGCTTCCGGTAACGATAATCTAGTGTTCTGCCTTATAGAATAGTTAGGAATGTTGGAAAATCTAATAATATACGAGGAGAAATAGGCAGGAGCTATGAACTTTAAACAAAAAGAGGAAGTTTGGTCACATGGTAAGAGCGCCTGTTGGAAAGACGCGATCAGCGCAAAAGAGAAATTGCATCTGGGGAGCGCGTACAGCGCGTAATTACTACGAGCTACTTCAGGAATGGTGGTTTGAATCACTCAGAATTTTATGCTCAGTCAAGTTTAGCACGTTATTTCACGGACCTGGTATCTCTCTGCCATTACATTGAGCTTAACATAACAAGTAATGAGTTTCATCAAGCTTCATCAAATTACGTTATTCTGAGACCAAAAGTTTGAATTTCACATAGTTTAATTTGCATTTAAGGTTGAGATTGCGAAAGGTGTTGACCTATATATTTTGGGTTTTTTTCGCCAGATAACACATTTCAGGTTTTCAAATCGATGGTCGCTCGAAAGAATAGTAACATTTTAAATCAGTTAGAGGGTCAAACTTTCTCATAAGTTGTTTCTTGGTAATGAGTGGTGGAGCGTTGTAATTCTATGTTTCCATCAGAAAACATCATGCTTCAGGAAATGCTCGTTTCAGTCCCTCCAAATGCGCGTTAATGAAAGTAAGGAGAACTGAACTAAAACTGTACTATGGTAATAATTTTTTCCTCGGAAAATATAATGCGCTGCACTGGGTGCAGAAGCCAGGAGTAGTTGCTTGTAAAAGGATAAAGGAAAGAGAGAAAATTTCTTACGATTTCCAGTTGTGTTTTTGCCCCGTTCACGAAGGCAACCACATCCGTTGGTCCTAATCTTCTGACCTCAGAGTACACTCCGATCTACATTTATGACGATCCTATTTCTAACGGGTTGGAGTTAACAATGCTCAGAATTAATTGAAGATAGAAATGAGAAGTGAAAAGGTCGTGATTTGGTGTCAATCTGGTTGTTGACAGCAGGTTGTAGCAATTAAATCGATCAAATACTTCGCCCCCTCTTACGTGAAAAATAGTGTTTATACTCCCTCAATTTATATTTCATCCACGATCTGTGTAATCCAGGGTTAGGCTATTTGGCTACAATGAAAAACTTAGAAAACTACAACCCGTAAAAAGGGGAAAAATCAGCAAGTGGTTTGTGTTGGTGGCAAAACATTACGTCATAAAATCTTCGAGCAGGAAACGTAGCTGGTACGTCGTAAGATGTGAAACGGGAAGTGACAGTGCTTAGACGTCTGATTCTTTATTGAAAGCGACTACACTTTGCATCAGCGTATAGGAAAATTTTCCGTGAGTTAAACTTTCTCTTTATCACTCCTGAGATTTGTTTCCTGTAGCAGGTGTCATAGTGAAGTATCATGTTTCTTCCCATTAACTTCCATCCTCACCTTTCAATTTGCCTAAAAGTAATTAATTCGTGTGCCTTGAAGTCGAGCATTCTTTATTTTAAGAGATCTGCAGAGTTGAAGAAATTAGATCTCCTTGAAAAACACTTCCTTTAAGCATTTTTCTCATTATGTGAGAATGTACTTCTCTTTTGTTGGCTGACGAGAGATTGAATTGCCTACAGTTTAGGGTAAGGAATTCAGGTCCATGCCATGTTTTCAAGATAATGAAGGGGTTGTTCTTCATAACAGTTTTTGCTTGTCTGGAGTTGGCAGCCGCAGGTAAGATAAACTCCAATTTAATTACAAGAACGCTCCACTGATCTTCTTTGTCCAACAATCGTGATGTTAATAGTGTTTTTCGGATGGTTAATCTTTACTGGTACTAAACTCAACCAGGTGGAACATGTGAAGCCCCAACATCATATGTCATCGCTTTTATTTTTATGTAGCTTTCTTAATTTTTCTCGTCCTCAAGCAAACTGTTTGAGTGTTACTTTTACAGAAATTGGCCGGTTTGGTTTAATATCCGTCAAATAAGGAATCAAAGCTAGGTATTACCTGATTGCTTCAGTCTTAAATCAATTTTCTCAACAGTTTAGAAAATGAAATTGTAGAAAAATGATAATCATTTACCTTTTTCGCTTGGAACGGCATGATTTTAACCGATGTTACCAATTTCGCCTAATAATCTAACCCAGTGAAAGAATTAGATGAAATATTTTATCATATCAATAGCGGATTCTTTAACAAGTATTAGGTATAATACCACTATACTGAATACCGGTGGGATACAATATTCCATTTAAGCTTTCTTGAATACTTACTTTTTCTTCGAGTTTATAACCTTTTGTTTTGCTAGTCGAATGCTTTTGATAACGAATTACTACACAGATTGCTCGTCCTATTTTACGTAGCATGAAAGCTCTTACCGTTTTTTAAATTCACTAAATTCTTTCTCCAACTTCCATAGAAAAGATACAAAAACGTGAATTGAAAATTGACAGACGAAGCCCTTGGGAATATGGTATGTTGCTCTACATTCGTGTTGCATGACAGCCTTAGTGGCAACTACCTCTGAAAGGAGAAGTTTACAACAGAAACCATACGATTTTTATTTCTGCCTTTCAAAGTATTTGTAAAATTTGGAATTACTGTCAAAAACATTAAACGAAGGACGCCGCTATTCAAGTGTTTTTCAGCTACCTAGCCCCTTACCACTTACGCATCAAAATTTCTTTTTTCCATCTTGAACATTCAGGAGCTAAAACTAAAGATTTTATTGACTCAAATTACGATTTTTTCTGATATACGGTTGCAATTGGTCAAAAGTTACTTACAGCAACCTTGTTATCATTTACAAGGTTGCAATTTGACCTAAAGGTTTGGTTTGCTCATCTATCGTTCATCGATTTCTTGTTCATGAGTGTACGTACTGTTTTAACGGATTGCCGACAGTCCAATAGCTATATGGAGGAGATTCCCCAGAGGTGACCTCTAATGGGTAAATAATGCTATTACCCATGCAGCGAATATGTTGTCCATTTACGGCTGCATGTTGCCAACTATCAAGTGTTGTCACAGTAACAACCAATTCTCGTATTGTCTTGCAGCTTTGCTTAAATATCTTCTAGGAGACCCCAGAGGAAACCGTAAGTTTCCGTAACTTTTGTCCACTATCGTGGATATTTATTTTATTCTCAAAGTATTTCTGTAAGGATGTCACTCAGTGAAATGACCTCTCTTCCAGCAAACACAGCGAAGGCTTTGAAAGGGGAAAGGAGAACTACTAGACTGCACAGATTGTGCTCTGGGAAAATTCAACTTCGTGATAAATGGATCAAGGACACGTCAGTTTACGACAAAATTATTTGCGGCATGTTCACAAGACAAGATGAGTACAAGAAGCATGAAGCGCACGTGGCGAGGATATTAATGGGAAAAACTAATAGAAAGACTTTGGATGAACAGAAAGATGAACTGATCAGAGCTGTTAATCGGATGGTAAAGGCAGCCGGCCCTATTCCTATTATTAAGATCAAGGGCAAATGAACGGGAAAGAGGAGCCATTAAATCAGTTCAGGAAGTTAATAACAGTGTGGACAACAGAAAACCACTAAAGCAGCAAAGGGTTCTACAAAGCCCCTAAATCTTTTGGGTAAAGTTCTTGTCACTTTCCTACTCTATCATTAGGTCAATTCGAAAACCGTGTGTGACGAAACATTTTCCCTAATTGTAAGATAACAGTTATGTGTTTTTTATAAACCTCTAATGGGATAATTTAGTGGGGGATTTTTAATTTCTAATAAACAAGACCGCACCAATAGAACCCGAAGGCGAACATTTCTTTCTCTTTTACTTTCCATTTAAGTTTGGACAAAAATTGTTATTCAGACGGTCAGTGCCTGTTATTCCAATCATTTTCCAACTAAGGATGTTTTTAAAGACAACGATATACTTAACTATTTCTTTCTGAGGTGGTTTTTTGAAGAATACTAAATGTTTTTTTTCGCTTTTTTAGCGTTGAGTGCTCTTGACGCTCTGAACAAAAATCAAAGGTTAGCACGGGGTTTCGCCGACAAAGGCTTCCAATATGAGGGCCTGAAGATTTTTCGAGTAGTCATAACACAAATTTTATCTCTGGCTACATTTCTCAATTTACTTAATTTATGACATTAAGTGTGTAAAAAAAATACCTGCACGAAACTCGGTAATACGGAGCAACGAAAATGCGAACCGCAACAAGTTTAATTCCATCCAAAAGTACAATTTTATTTTCGATAGAACATTTTCATAGCCCCGAACTGCAAGGTATCGACGCTGCGCCAAATATGTGAAATGCTGATATATGGAATTATCCCAAATCGAAATACACTGAAATTAATGATACCCCCCCTCCGTTCGTTTGTATATATTGTAATATTAGGAGGAGGAGCAAGAAGAACGAGAAAAATCGATATAACCTTTGGCTGGGATTTCCTACTGAAACAACTGAAACTCTATAGTAAATTCTTAATACCCTGCCTTAAGAGGAATGCCCGAGTTTTTGATTTGTGAGGAATAGAATACTGATGCGAGTGTTTTGTTATACTTCGAAACACAACAAGGGAAAGGACTTTCGGCATTTTCTATGTAAAAGTAATCATCTTTATTGCCGTAATTAATTTGATTAAACTATCACTATCGCTCGCTGCTCGCAATGATATGATCACGATGTCAAAGTGGGGTTGAAATGCCGGTCTAACTCAGAGTAACTATAATTTTTATTGGAATTATAGCTATTGTTATAATGAGGACAATGGTTTTGTTCGACAACTGTTGTCATAGATTCTCACCATCGAATGCAGAATTAAAAAAACAAAATGCTTGACACATTTTACAAATTTTGAACCCTTTAAATTATTTTTGTTCTATGGGCGCCCGTATAAAACAGGCATTTTAAACACATGCTTAAAAGAACTATTGGAAATAACTCTTCTTAATGCGATTTCTCTTTTGCTTTTCTAGCACTTTTCTTAGACTTATTTATTCTAGCTTTCTTGTGATGATTGTCCTTTTCTGCTAATTTACGTTGAAACTCTCTTCTAAATAGGCCACCAGGTGCGTCCCCCATGGTTGTGATGCCTGGGTTATTCATCCCAGTGAAGCCATTAATACCATCCATTCCACCGAATCCGTTCATTCCATTGTCCAATCCACCACCCATCATTCCACCACCCATTCCTTCCATACTAGGTGTTCCTCCCATTCCAGCCATTCCTCCAGCACCATCCATGTTACCCATTGCGTTCATGTCGCCCATACCTCCTGGCATGTCGTTCATGGGTCCTGCGCCTCCCAGGTCTCCTGGCATGTCATTGAAAGGTCCCATACCTCCTAAGCCTTGCGGCATATCCTGCATTGGGCCCATACCTCCTGGCATACCTTGCATTGGTCCCATGCTACCTTGCATGTTTTGCATACTCGCCATTTTGTTCATTCCTCCCATTCTTCCCATTCCACCCATTCCTCCCATTCCTCCCATTCCTCCCATTCCTCCCATTCCGTTCATTGCAGCCATGCGACCCATTCCTCCCCCTCCTCCTCCCATATTTGGCTTTCCTCCCATTCCGTGCGCGTTTTTCCAAGCGGCGCTGAATTGGTTTTGCATCTGCTTTTCAATACCCGCCATGGCCTGGTCCTGAATTTGTTTCATGGCAGAATTGTAAAACATCTCGGGAGTTGCTGGCCCAGTACTCACACCTATGAGATTATAATGACACGGAATTACTCTTTAAAGTGGTTTATGACCGTTCGTTTTGCATCACAGTTATTTAAGTTCACGCCGTCAAGATAATAACGCTTGCAGAAAAGTGAAAGACAAATTAAGCCGAAACCAAAGAAAGTAAATTTGTCAGGCGTGCCTTATTAAACAAAGTTATGACCTCATTGAATTACGGTTTTTAAAGGTCACTATAATCAATCAGCAAGTTCTTAGAAAAATAAGGATTCTCATATTTCATCATCGCCTTAATGAGTCATTGCAAGTAGGTAGTCAGACACATGTTTTCCTATAAGCTTTCAATTTTTTGGTGCTCATTCAGGCAATTCTTAAACACTTAACCTGCCTTAGCGGCAAGCGCGTGTATGGCCAACAGAGTGCAAAACATTTTGTGTGCAACAGAAAGATGTTCGATTTCCCTTCTTGCATTGATTTTTGTTTGAGCACACTAATTATTGAATCCGAATGGACTAAATCCCTTCCCTAAAAGGGTGAATTTAATTATAGGGAGTTTCTCAGATGATATTTAACTGCACAAGGTGAGATTGTTTGAAACACTTCAAACTCATTAAAAACAGAGCTCCGTTCATTTATTGGTGAGATAACAAAGAAAATTTATCAAAAGAAATGTTGATAGAGGTAAACCTTATATTCGAGCAAATAAGTCCATAACAGTTGAACTTGCCCGGCTGTCATTGGGTGTAGTAACTCCTTTGGAATGTGCATGCTCATCAACAGTTAGTTTCGTTTTATACGAGGAAAGTGTCTTCAGTGTCCTCATAAACTTATTAAGATTGCGATCGCCACGTGGTCTCATGCATGATGTAAAAGACGGTCAGTGCTTTCTTTCGTGCAGTTTACCTGATGTTTTTTCCCGTTTCATGGTTATGTCCTTCTTTGATGCCAGGGTTGATTGATCTTTGTGTCCTTTGTTGAGCTTATGACTGTCGTGCTTTTGTTTTCCTTTCTTGTCAGGTTTTTCAACCTTTGCTATTTTAGCTTTTCTATCATGAGGAGCATCGTACCCTTCGTCGATATCACTCTCAGGACCTTCTTCCACTGGCTCTTCAAGAGCAGCATGTTCTCTAGCGGGAACAAAATAAGGTTCATCTTCGTCGACATCATTGTCGAATCCCTCATCATCAAAATCTTCCTCGTTGTCGAAGTAATGATGTCTCCGAAAAGGACGAAAATAAGGCATCCTGGGTCGGTCTTCGTATCCTAATGGTACTTTGTCCCGTCCAACTGCAGGTTCATCAATCATAGGCATGGGTCCCATAGGCCCCATGGGACCCATAGGTTCCCTGAGTTCTTCTCCAAATCCTCTCGCATAATAACCATTTACTCCATTAAAGTATTCATCGTTTCCTCTTAGATTGTCTCGTTGGAATGCATCGCCAGCATTTTCCATATCTCCCATATCTGCCATGCGGTTGCCATACATTCCGGCCATTCCCATTTCTCCCAGTCCACCAAAGCCAGCCATTCCTCCCATTCCTCCACCCATACCATCCATACCACCCATGCCACCCATGCCGCCCATGCCTCCCATGCCTCCCATACCTCCCATACCACCCATGCCGCCCATGCTATCCATTCCGTCGCTCATTCCTCCCATGCCTTGCATACCACCCATGCTTCCCATTCCTCCCATGCCTCCCATTCCTCCCATTCCACCCATTCCTCCCATCCCCGGCATTCCTTTTGCTGTCTGCATAGCAGCCTTAAATTGGTTCTGCATCTGTTCTTGTATGACTTGCATAGCTTGTTGCTGCATTTGTTTCACCATCGGGTTGTCAGGCTCCTCATTGTCTTTGTCTGCAAAGAAGGGAAACAAATCAATACTGCGGTGTTTAAATGACTTGTCCTTTACCGATTTGTAGTGTCCTATACGTCAGTATGGTCTGACATCACTGCGAGATACTTACCATCTCCTTGACTTGGGGCTTCGCTGGGCTCTACGGAAGTTGAGAAAAATGATGCCGTGTTATTCATTTGTTACAACGACATTTAATTTTCTGTCATGTCACACACACATACGTCTCTTAATTAAATTACAGAAAAGAACCCTTTTCCTAAGGAAAATTCGTTTTTTTGTCAAAATTCTAGACTTAAACAACAGCTGATATTCAGTTCCCAAAACACGAGATAATAAGAGGAAATGGCCTCCAGCCTTAGAATTAAGTCCTTTGCACCATAACTTAAACTTTCAAACAAAAGAAGATAATGATGAAGATGAAAATGTATTTTTATATCTATCTGTATATGAGATATTCTAAAGGCTAAGCTGAAATAATATTTGGTACTTACCATCAGGGCTCTTGTTACCATCGCCACCTTTACTATCGTCTGACAAACCGACAGGAACAACAGGGGGTGCTTCTCCTTCGGCACCGCCTGGAGCAATCTTTAAATCCGGAGGGAGCTTAGGATGGTCTGGTCCAGCAGCAATAGCCGCATAGGGATCTGTTTTACCTTGGTCATTTTCTTTTGGATCCATTGCTGAACCACTTCCACCTTCGGAATCCCCAAGTTGAGTGTCGTTACTGGATAATTTCTTTGCAGCTGCTGCTGTTACGTTTGGAAGAACTCCGCTGACCAACTTGTCAATTGCTTTAAGAGCCGAGGTAGTATTGAAATCTTGAAATTGACTTACATTCTTAATTCCGTCTCGAACCTTGCTTAATGGAACACCTGTCGACACCCCTGTATCGTCCACCTTATCTGGGTTTGGCTTTATCTGAAAATTCGTAAACTCTTTACGATCAGGCATCACACTGCCAGGCTTAGCGCTTTTAAGCTTATGAAAGAGCTTCAAAAGGTTCTTGTGAATGCTTGTTTGAAGGCTTTTGATTTTAGTTTTTTCTTTTATGGGAGAAGCTCCACTTTCCTCATCTTCCTCACAGTCCTCATTTACGGATGACTTCTTTCGAGCAGCTTCCGTCTCAGTTGGGTGGGGAATGTGAGAGTCAATACTCTTTTGATGCGATTTTAGACTGCGAACTTGATTTATACAACCTAAAGAATTAGAGTAAAGACAAATGATGAGACCATAAGACTGCCGTGCAGTTGATTCGATATATTTTTTCTCCTCTTTCATGGTCCGATCCCTTCCGCTCGCCATTGACAAATTACTATATTATTCTCAACCTTGTCACAATGATTACTTACTTTCTGTTATTTGACATTGAAAAACCAGAAGAACAAAGAGATTAGCAGCTTACCAAAATGTATTCAGTTACTAACATGTTTGCCTTGAAAATTGTATGATCATTGAAGAAAATTTGAAGAAATTGAACCTCATTGAAAGCAAGGTTTATTCTATGCTCTCTTACTCCATACCAAACAACTGAAACGTCATTTAATATGTTTTCACTGCGCTGTGAGTGACTACCCTCGTAATTATCTCCACGCTATCTTTGAGCGCAGCACGACCACTAAGTGGTAGTATGGCCTTTACGATTTACTTCGTATACTCCTTCTGTGCGAAAAGTCACTTTGAAATGTAACGAAGGAGAGGAGGATAATAGTGGATATAGCTGAGGACTTAAGAATACAGATGAAGTTCAAATACCTTTTGAAGGCCTTCCACAAGATAAGTCTGGGAAAGCAAACAATAATGTGATAAAAATCTGAAGATCTGAACGCCGCTTCCCAATTGTTGTTTTTAAGAAACTTATAGTGGATCGTAGAGATAAATTAGAGAACTGTTTGTGACTAAACTGAGGTCTCACTGACTTTGACGATATCTTCTGACTTGGCTAATCATTAAAAACGTTGTCATCATTATCACTGCTTTTAATGATATCGATTTCTAAAATAATCCACGCATCACTTGCCGCTTAGCGGTGAGACGCTCAGTGAGGAGTCTGAAACTTACATTCAATGGACGAGGAACGAAAGGGGTGCGGTAGGGGGAGGGAACTTACATTAAATGGAAAATATTACCTGTTAATTGTGCATTTTGTTCTGTTTTTTTTTTTTAATTTAAGTTAAGAATGTAGTTTACTCAAGTTCTTTCAATTAAGGCGTTTAACAGTTTTACAGTATAATTTCTGATTTCTTCTAGTTGTAAACTGAGGTTTTATAAACACATTGTATTCTCCTTTTACTGAGTATCGCTTTGCTTAACATGGACCGCCGTTCTTTATAAAATTTGTTGCATAGTAAAGAACTTGCTAAAGACACCCCAGTACTCCGGCCATAAGGCTACTGATTAGTTTTGTAACGCACTGATAATTTTATTGTCAAAACAACTGGTACCAGCTCCTTACCTGTGAACAAAAGAACTGCTAAAAGCAGCGAAAAGATCATCGACCGTTTTCTTGTCATTCTTCAATTCTTCGCATTTGCTATAGAAAATCATGAAAATTGTCTTTACTAAAACAGTTTAGCAAAAGATTTCAACACTGTTTCTACTACATGATATATTTTAGATAAATACAATTGACTCGTTGAACTAAACGTGCGAAATTTACAAGTACCAGAAGAATTATTTGCAGTGTAGCCCAATGGCCCCAAAGCCTTTTGAAAGAGATCTTCAGACTGAGAAGTAAAAGATTTAAGGCCTTATGACATTTCAAATGGATAATTTATTTTCAAAAAGACACGATCCAAACTCGCCGTAACAGGATCGTTTTCCTCGCGATGTCTATATTATGGCAGGTCTCTCAGACTTTGCTGGATACCCAGTATTCCCGTCTGTTTAGGATATATCATTACCTGAAGTAAATAGGTTTCATATACATTATCATGATTCATCGTCAGTGCTTTCTTTGCACTACAAGAAAATAAGTCTCCTAAGATTCATAAAGGAAACTACGTAAAGTTCTCGTAGCAGGTATTGAAAATATTATTATCAGAGAGGCTCAAAATATTATCGTATGGAAAACAATTTACTAATGGCAAATCATCCAAAACCATGAGGGAGTAGGTAGACAATACAAAGTTATACACAACTTACCATGAGCTGAAGCACTGTTGATGATATTGGTACAAAACAATTGCCGCAAGCCACAAGAAATCACAGCTCAGTTGCTGATGTAAGAATAAAATATTTTGGTAACCCAGATCATAAAATTATAGTTATTTACCAATTAAATATTTACATAAGCAATCCAAAATAATCCCATGTGTTGCCAGGGAATAGGAGATTACCCCAAATTTAACGAATGAAGTGTAATTTTTTGGTCAAAAGGGTCGGACTGAAACTAAATCGATCCACATGATGATAAAAAAAGGACATATATCTACATGGAATTAAGCGGTTAAAGATCGCTATGGTTTGAAAATACAGTAAACTTTTCATCAGCGTTGCTTTATGGGGTGAACGAATTCTGTCATGGGCAACTCAATAAGGTCAGGCGTATCACACCTGTTAGTCAAAACTTCAAGGGTGCTTATCAAGAAAATTTCACACCTAAAAGAACCAAACTAGCTTTAACAGGTTCGCCTGCTCTTAGATTCCTGTAGCACGGTCCTGGATCTATGAGCAGCTTTCACAATAATTCCGTGTAAAGGTGTTCATCCAATCCAATGTTTTTTAAGCAGTCTAGTACCATGGGAAGAATGGACACATCAGGGCGATGCTCCTTCTGGTCAAAGGTTGCTGTGGTTTTGACGGTGTATTATATTTATCTAATCTACTTTAATCCGTTCTGATGGTGAAGGCATTTCTTACGACGTATTTTCTTTTCCTTTGGCTTACTTTGGTTTATCCGTTTAATGATGGACAGAATGATGGACAGCTCTAACCGTTGTCTGGCTACAAGATTCCTCATATGTAGCATTCGTTTTGGAAGTTAGGCAAGCAAAAGCCTGGTCCAGCACAAAATCCTCTTTAAGTTTGCTGCAACTGTTTTCGTACAGAAAAAGAGGATATGCATAAGCTCTGAAGTTTCGGAGGAAATATATGTCACTGACGTTTAAACTTAGTGGTTAAGGAATAATTTTATCTAAAAGATGCACCTTCTAGTTCGCTCAGGATCAGTTAATAAAGCTTCTCATTTATTCATGATAACTTAAAAAAAATGCATACTCGATAATCTCCCTTGAATATTCAAAATGTGATATCTTGACCTAACCAGTAACCTCCCAAATGAAACATTATGTTCATAATAAATTTACACCTGCCTTAAAGAATTAGATTCTGAATTTAGATTTTGAATTAGGGTGTTGAGTCAGTTAAAGGGTTGGTATTCACTTGGAAAGCAAAGAGTTTGCCCAAACTGCTTAATATCGAAGCATAATATCTTACTCGTATGATATAGGTTTGTCAGAGGTACTGATTACGTAAAAAGCTGGCTACCCCATCTGGTTATGTAGCCTAAATACTCGTGCCGTCTCATTTCGGCGTTGTGTTCACGAAATTTTCCACTCTACCATTCAAATTTTAGACCCTTCAAAAGAAAAATTGCATTAAATTCATTTCAGGTGTTCTATAAAAGTTCTCATCCTGCGATATTATTCCTTTCTGGTGTGTTTATTCCCGTTTAGAGTAAGGACGACAAAGAAGCTTGGCGAAAAGAAAAAAGAAACAATCAAACAAGCTAAAACAAAACACATACAACTACTTTTAAAAATGTACGCCTTAAGCTCATGACGAGGGAATAATTTTGTAACCTACTATTTCTTCGGCTTTCACCCCAATTTGCGTGTCTTGACACAAATGTTCAAGGAACATTTTCATGTCGGGGTGAAACGAGGTGTTTAGAAAGCAGGTAAAGCTTGTGAGATCTTGGGTGGAAGTCTAGAACTATGTTGTCATGGAAAAATCATTTTTCTGTCTGATGTACATTCCCCCGAGTTATGGCAAATATGTGCGCATTAATTTCGTGTTTCATTTCATATAATCCGATTGTTGATGAGCATCTAAAGCTGAGATTTTCAACGGCCAAAACATGTATAAAGTTGTTTCTAGTTGAAATGTTTCATTCAATTTAATTATGAGTAAAACATATTTGTTTTTATTTAGGGTCATAAACCTAACACTAAACCATAAGACTTTTTCAAAGTGCTCTAATGGTGAGATTCACTCAGACAAAAAGGTCTATTAGATGCTTGGTTTGGCAGTAATTTTGGCCTCTCTAAAATTTGTCCTATTGTTTTCGTTGTTGGTGTATATGCATGCTCTCTTAGTTATTTCCTTTGCTCAGTCAAACTTGTTATTGAAGTACTTATTTTAATCTTTATTTCCCTCCTGCCTCGATTGACTTCGCTATTTCTCGGGAAGGGCGGTCATATATGTATTTTAATTGCGAAGGTAAATAGATTTTTGTTGTGGTGGTTATTGTTGTTGTTTTGAATTGCGAGAAATACATAATGCATTATTTATGCTGTTTGGACATCTGCATTGTGATTTTAATTAGATCTAATATGACATTAAGTCATAACATGATCCCGCCTATTTTAGAGTGAAAAGCAGTACTTTTAATTGTTCTGTTTTCTTATTAAAAATCATGTTTTGACTCATCTCGTGACCTTGGACCAGACTTCTGATCAATTCAAGAATTACTTCCTTCTCTTTGGCTTACAGATAACGTGATTAAATTTCTTGTAAAGTCAAACCTATGCAAGGACATGTTCTAATCGCCAGTTGACTGGAAATTTTCTGATCCGAGTAACGCATTCTTTAAACTTTAGTGCATGTTAGTTTCATTCTTCCCTGCCTTAAAAAGCAATATAGGGTCGTCGACAATGTTTTAATCTATGAATATATGAATCCTTTACATTATTCTGTTTGTAGAAAAAGGCGCACAAAAAGCGCCCTCTGTTGCCTGGAAACATTCCTCTAGTCGACAAAGAGTGCATATCGATAGGGTTTTCATAATTTTCCTGGGAGTTTTCGTTTCCTGTGCATATGTTTACTGCGCCTTGTCTTGTCGTTTTCCCTGGTATTATGATCACCCGAGCTGACTCCACTTTCATCGAATGTATAATTGAAGTTCTTTTCGCTGCGCATGTTTCCTGTCTGAGACGATGTTGTGTCAATACCGCTCGAGTCTGTAACTGACGCATGTTCTGGAATCAGTTGGATTATTTTATCGCGAACACCTAACATGGTGTCCTCCATGCCTTTTGCCTCAAAACTATCTTGATTGTGGTCGTGATAGAACTTTTTTTCGGCTTCTTCGTCGCTGTCCTTAAAATCACCATAATCTTCCGTGTTGTAGGAGTCATCTAATCCATCTTGTCCTGTATTTTCCCGAATGGTACCTTCTTCATCAAATGGTCCATCGCCCCCGCCTTTAACAGTTCCAATCGTATGACCTTTCACCAACGCATCGTACATCAGATCCTGTTGAGCCGCTACTTTCTCTTCAAGATGCGCTGCTTCATCAAACTTTTCCTGAGACTCTGATGGCTGTTTCTTCTTATCCTCGCCGCCAAGAGATGGGCTACTTGCAGTATTTATTGGAGACTGGCTTATAGGGGATTGTAAAGGACTAGCAACCGTGGGCTGGCCAGAGATCCTCGACTCTTTTGCATCGTTTTCTAGGCCTGTGTTCAATGGGTATTTTGAACTTTTATTCAACATCTCATGAATCTTGTTAAAGAAGTCAGTTTCTGCTCTATAAAGCTCTTGTCTCGCTAACATGGCTTTCACCAACTTTTGAGCCGTACCAAAGGCTTTCCTTGCATCAAGGCGTTCTTTTGGCAAATTAACAGGTTGAATGTTTTGTTGTTGTTTTTGTTGTTGTTTTTGCTCCTGTGCTGCGTTAGCGAAGGAGAGCTGATGTTCTTGCTGTTGCTCTTTCGGTGTGTTTAACTTCTGTCCTGTAGTTGATATTAATGTGCTTTGTTTGTTAGTAACTGGTTGTTGAGCTTGGGATTCACTGGCCAACCTTACATTTGAGTTTGATTTGACAGGTGTGCTGCTCGAATCTCCCTTAATGTTCTTTAAAACGCTCAGATGGGCAGCTTTGAGTATGTTAGTTATAAATGAAGTGTAGTTTTCCAAAAGAGTTGGAGTTCCGCTAAGTTGATTTTTATTGCTCGGGTTGACTTTGAAATTCGAGTAAGAGTCTCCTGGCCATGACGAAGGTTTTTGAGTCAATCTGCTTTGTTGTTGATTTCTCATTTTCTGAAATGGGATATCACTGATGAGGACGTGGCCAGCTCCATCGTTTGTTAAATTCGTCTGCTTAAGTTCCTCAAGAAGGAGTTGTCTGAGTATCTTTAATTGCGCGTCATCATGTTTTGACTGGTTAACTTTAGGTTTGGTTTCGGGGAATTTAGGGCTGATGACCCGGTGATTTGCTTCTTGATCAACAGGTTTTGTTTTATTTCGTTCCATTTTCTCAGCTTCTCTGACAGCCATTTCCAGCAAAGCCACAGCATTAGTCAATTTCGTGTTATTAAGGTGCCCTACATCTGCAGAGGTGAGTGGGTCTTGCCCAACGCTATCCCAAACAATTTGCTTCGCTCTTGCGAAAGCGGCTCTGGTCACATCCGGGTTGAATGGCTTTCCATGCTCAACAATGCTCCTCAATTCCGGAAATAATGGAAAAGAATCCGTCACCATGACTTCTTCGTCACCTTTTAGAGTAATGTTACCTCGTGTGTCGACTTTTTTAAGCTTTTGTTTATGATCGTGCAATTTTGAAGTTTTTTCCAGCTGTTCATTGACTCTTTCAAGCAATCGCACTCTGTCCTGTATTGTATTCTCAGCATTAAGTATCTGAGTTGACTTATTTTTGTGGTTTTCATTTTGCTGATTAGACAGTTTGTTTATCCCCTCAGCTAATCTCAAAACGGACTTCAGGCCATCAAATTGTCCGTGTCGATGTCGGTGATGGCGGCGGCGACTTGGTGGAACTTCTGGCCTCATTACCACCCTGATAACGTTTGGAACCCTTCTTACAGAAGATGCATGATTCGAAGTTTTTCCGCCAGATTCCATCTCACGCATAGCGTCTGCCAGGAAGTTTCTTTTCCTATCACTTTGTTTGGTCTTAGCATGGCCTTGAAAAAAATAACAAAGTTCAATCAACCATGCTTTCACTGCTATAATCCGAAGCACTGATGTCATTGTTCTCAACCAAAACCA